GGGTTTCTTAAGAAGTCTACCCGGGTGTAGAATAAGAAAAATAGAACCACAGCAGATAATCCATTGAAAATCCCATGAAATTTGGGATTTTTACAGGAATAAATACAAGTATTCCTCATTGATAACTAAAACATTAAGCTTTTCAAAAATTCCTAGAAAGTAGAATTAGACCAGGGTTTTCAGCTAAGGAGCAAGGAAACCCCAGCCTTCGAATTGAGAAGAGAAATCGAATATGGAAATCGACCACTTACCGATGACCAAAGCAGGAAAAATTATGAAATTTCGAGAGAAGAAATACACGAAGGCGAAGATTGGGGATTGAAGATTTAAAGAGAGAAGGAAATCTGATGGCTTTTTGGGTGAGGGGGTTTCTTGAAGAAGGAAGTTCGTTGATGAAAAAGGGGGCGCAAGTCAGGAAAAGAAGAAAGAAGTTGGTGGGCAATTTCTCAAATATGTTGGAGATTTTTATTTTCGGGGGCTAAACGGAGCTGAGGGCTGAGGCAGACAACAGGTTCACCGTACACGTGCGTTTTTGTTCATTGTTTTGGATTCCTAATCCAAAATAAATGTTAATATTAGACTTCAATTCATGATTAAACCTTTTCCTTCCCTCAAAATATTAAACCCTTCATGACAAGTTCTTTCTTTTTTTCCAACATATTTTTAATTAGTTAGTTGTAATTAAAAATAGATAAAATACACATTAATGTTATCTTAAATTACTAAATACAGGTATTAGTAACACAAAATAAATACTCTTATTCGTCTCTTTTGTTTAGTATTTTTTTTTTTGTTGTGATGTCCTTAAATGAACTATTCTTAAGACAACTAATACTCTTAATTCTTTTGTATTATGAATTTATTTTTTTATTATTTTCTTATTAAAAATATTAAACATTTATATTATAAAAAATTTTAAATTTTAACATAAATAATTAAAATAAAAATTTTAATTTTAATTTTCATTAAAATAAAAAAGATAAAATGAGTAATAATTAAATAAATATTTATATCTTTTATGGGTAATCCAAATAGTTGAATATTTAAATATTTTTCAAAAAAACAAAAAGGGTAACCTTTTTATATAATGTAGTCACCTGCTCTCGGGTCTATGTTCAAAGAACAAAGGGCAAGAAACTGAAACAGAGCAACAAATGGGCATGGGTTCTTACAAAACGAAAAGGGTAACCAGAAAAGAAATTAAATATACTGCAATGCCATGATAGGAACCCTATGATTTACTACTAAAATATGTCTTCAAATGGTAAAATTAGAAGAGTAAGGTAATGTCAGATGGGAGCCACGTCATAAAAAAGGATGACGTTACTTGATCCAGCAAGAAAACTGGAAGTGTATAAAAATGTCAAAATCCAGTGATTCAATCTAATCCCATAATTCCCCCATACTGCACGGCTCTCTTCACCTATCTCTGCGAATCATAAACCAAACTTGGGTTTTTTCTCTCTGTCCTTTACGCCTTTACTTAAGGCACCCGTCTCTCTCTCTCTTGACTCCACATCAACACTTCTCCTCCACTGCAAAAAGGAAAGGATCGCTTCCTGCTCTTTCGTCTAAAGTTCAAGATTTTAGCTTTCGTTTCTTTCTCTCTCTCTTCTGTTTGGTAGCCAAGGAAAACTCTGAGAAAGCAAAGGTAAAAAAGACCAAATTCATGATGAATTATGAAAAGGGTATTAGCTAAAAAGCGTGATAGTCTTGGACTTTGCACTTTGTTTCTGGAGTTTTTGGGCTATATTTTAGTTGGATGTTAAAGTAAGTTTGTGTGTGTGTGTGTGTGTCTGTGTAATTGCAGGGATGGGTTTTGCAAGGAAACAGAACGAGTTCTTGAGTGAGATCGGGTTAAGCACTAGCAATTTGGGGTGTTTTGTGAATGGCTCCTGGAAAGGAAGTGGCCCTGTGGTTTCTACTGTGAATCCTGCTAATAATCAGGTTCTTATTCTGTGTCTATGAATGTGTTTTTCATGCTATATGATTTTATTACTGATTGCCGCGACAGTTATCAAGATTGATGGAACAGTCCCTTTTTGAAAAAATAAAGCAAGGAATCTTATGGTATTCTTCTTTCTTTGATCCACCTTTAAATTACACAAAGAACTCAAACCAAAGCTAAGGCCTTGTGTTCCTGGTGCTTCTAAGGAGTGGCAGTATGCTTCATTTTTCAATTTCTTTGATAATAAATCTCTCTCTCTCTCTCTCTCATTCTCTTCTTGCCTCTAAATAGCATCACTTTTCGACAATTAAGGATTTTTCATTTAGTTATATGTTACAAGTTTTCTCTTATTTTTGCTTCTGCATTTTCAGATAATAGTGTTTTATAAGCACAATTGTTAGTTACAGAGTATGAAACCATGCTTGCATTTGGAAGTTATTACTTTTTTCTCCCTTCTGTAGATAGTATTATTTTTCATATTGATGCAGAAAATTGCTGAAGTTAGGGAGGCTTCCATCCAAGATTATGAGGAAGGGATGCAAGCTTGCAATGAAGCAGCAAAGATTTGGATGCAAGTAAGATAAATAGATGTCATAATCTAAACTGGAAATTTTATATTTATTAATGGGTTTTATATTTCATAAATTGTTTCAGGTTCCAGCCCCAAAGAGAGGTGACATAGTTCGACAAATTGGTGATGCATTAAGAACTAAACTACAGCAACTTGGCCGCCTTGTCTCACTTGAGATGGGAAAAATTCTTCCTGAAGGAATTGGGGAAGTTCAAGTATGTTACGCAATGTTGCAACTGTTGTTAACATTGGATATTTGCATAATATGTTATAAGATGGCCGATATTGAACAACTTGTTTGCTGTTTTGAATTCTCTAGCTATTTGCTATTTAGTTGAGTTAGTTTAAATATTTTGTTGAAGCTTCACATGAATCAAGAGGTACTTGGTAATGGGCATCTATCAAATTCTATTTGTGGGGAAAATATACTCAATTAGTGTGTTAAATAGAATTTATATATTACTGGTCAAAGTAATGCAGCCACAAGACCTTGCTACTAAACTTAAGGTTCTCAAGGTTCATAGCTTTACATTCACCAAATCATGTAACAGGGTTATTTACTTTAAGACATTTTCTCTTTCACAGCAAGTACTCTTTTTTTCTTTGTTATTTGCATTATTCATGGAGGTCAGGAAGTTTTTGCAAGGATTCTTTTGGTGGCAACAATGACCTAATTTTACTAAGGTGTATGAATGGTATCCAATAATGGGTTGAATATTGTCAGGATGCCCTTATGTTTTCTCTAGGTTAATCTCATTGTGGCACACATTAGCTATCATGATATGATGAGTTCTTTATTGACTGGATCAATTCTGTTGTTTTGCTGGCTCATTCTCCAAAGCTATCATAAGACATAACAATTATAGTAACTATGTAGTATCTTTCTCTTTATAATTGCAAATATGCAAATTTTGCAGGAAATCATTGACATGTGTGACTTTGCTGTGGGATTAAGCCGACAATTGAATGGATCAGTAATACCTTCAGAACGTAAGCCCATATATTCATTAGTCATCATTACTTTATGCATCCTCTTGTGGTTGATTTTGTAAATGGCTTGAATTCTGTTTTAGGTGCTCCTGATGAACGAAACTGCAAAAGTTTTTCTGGAATATTGAAATTTGCATATGTTCTGTTGTTGGCATTTCCTTATTACTACAAACTGTCAACATTTTGGATTTTATGTTTAATATAATTTAACATGAGATGATATGATTCAAGGTAGTACACTGTAATATGTATGAACATATGTATGATGCTCTAGACAGCATCCTAAAATGATTGTTCTGTTGTTAACAGGTCCAAATCACATGATGTTGGAGGTGAGCTACATGTTTAAACTTTTGAACTTGGACTCATAGTTGAAGTCTGGTACTAAGGTTTACATTATTTTAATTTATTCTGAGAACAGATATGGAATCCTCTTGGAATAGTAGGTGTAATTACGGCATTTAACTTCCCATGTGCTGTTCTTGGTGAGCTCCATTCCTTTTATTTATAAACTTATCTTTTTTGGTGCTGAGGGGCTTAAACTTTTGCAAGACAACTAATTTTAGAATAACTCTGAATTTTATTTTCTTTTCTTGCTTAGTATTGTTGCTTCTGGGTTTTCATTCAATTGGATTCTTATCTATGGATCAATGTTTAAGACAATTGGTGTTCATTTTATCAGGGGAAAAAAAAACGTTTCCATGGTAGAGCTTGGAATCAAATTATTAACTGAACTAGTTGTAATTTTCGCATTGTGTAGGATGGAATGCCTGCATCGCACTAGTGTGTGGCAACTGCGTTGTTTGGTAAGGCCTGATGTCATTGTTTTCTAAGATTATTGTGTTTCCACCTTTTGGGGAATATTTACACCATTCAGTTGATATATATTGTTATTGGGTCCATTATGCCTAATAATTAACTGTAAATTCTAGTTATATTAATACACAGAATTAAGTATATTTACTACTATGCTTTTTTCTTGATGGAAACTTCTTGGCTATTATTTTATTATTCAAATTAGTTTTGGTATTTATTTTTATATATATGGTTTTTAACTTTTATATCCTCAGTTCCCTTCTATGGAACTTCAACATCATAGTATGTGAATTCTGCTGTTTTATATCTCATTAAGGACCATTAGTATGTACTTCATTGCTTTCCTTTAACCATAACTTGGTTCAACACTGAAGTGCTATAATGAGATAAATGCACTTCTGGAAGATCACAAAACTCTTTTATTTTTCAACATCTTGTATTGCTGCATTAGCTTAATCTCATGGTAAGAGCTGCTTACAGTTTAAGAAGTACAATCCAAATGCATAATTTGCTTTTCTTAGAAAGATTTCTGCTTAATAAGTTGCATCTTCTTTAGTTAGCATAAATTGCTTTAAACAAAATTTAAGTTCTTTTTCACCAGTTAACTTACAATCTTGGTGCTTGAAAACTGTCATGAATTGTAGGAAAGGTGCTCCAACCACTCCTTTGGTCACCATTGCGATGACAAAGCTAGTTGCTGGAGTCTTGGAAAAGAATAACTTACCAGGTGCAATTTTCACATCATTTTGTGGTGGTGCTGAAATTGGGGAAGCAATAGCAAAAGATAGACGCATTCCTCTGGTCTCATTCACTGGGAGTTCAACGGTATTTTAATCTTGTGCCTCTCTAATGAAATTATTTTGTTACGTATTGTATTTGCAATGGCAGGCCTGTTCTGTCTTCATCTGTATATTCTGGAAATAATTTCAGGATAGGACATTTTATGTTCTTGTTGAATTTAAACAGAGACAAGGGGGATGTAAGAAAAGAAAAACACCTGTTTACTAATAGTTGAAGAAAGATTTCAAATTTGATAGTTTCATTGATGCATATCAATAAACAAGAATTTTACTCTCTTTTTTTTTTCCAGAATTAACTAGAATTTTATTTTATTATTTTGGCTAATATTAACAGGAATTTTACTTAATTCACCAAGATTTTAATTTATATTGCACATTCTAACTGCAGGTGGGTTTGAAGGTGCAACAAACAGTAAATGCGAGATTCGGTAAATGTTTGCTTGAACTGAGTGGAAACAATGCAATAATTGTCATGGATGATGCCGACATACAGTTAGCTGTTCGTTCTGTGTTATTTGCTGCTGTTGGTACTGCTGGTCAGCGCTGTACCACATGCCGTAGACTGGTATTTTTTAATTATGTGATTTTTCTTCTGAATTATGATTTATATTGTCAGCTGTCAATACTCTTTCTGCTGACTTTGCTTGTTGGCTTGTATTGAAGCTTCTTCATGAAAGTATATATCAGAGGGTACTTGACCGGCTACTTGGTGTGTACAAACAAGTTAAAATAGGGAACCCATTAGAAAAGGGTACCTTGCTTGGGCCACTGCATACTTCTTCTTCAAGGAAGAACTTTGAGAAAGGAATAGAGATAATCAAATCACAGGTATGTTCTTTGTTTTATTTTTTTCACTCTTGCTACTCATTCAACCCATGGCTAAGTTTCTCTTATCTTCTGTAAAATAAATTTTGGGTGTTAGTAAAATAAAACGCGACTTAATGCTTCCAACACCACATTTATGGGTGTGATGGACTACCATGACATGTTCAGAAAGGGCAGGTTATAGTTTTAAAGCTGAGAACCCATACTCATAATTTATCTTTGTACATGAATTAATATCTTTAGCTTTCCGCTGTTCCTTATAAACTCTCAATAAATTATTGACTTTCAACATTGTTAGGAGGTAGTCTTGGAACTCTTTAGGTTGCAGCATGAAGCTTTATGTGTTGACTTTATGATTGGTTTTGATGTCACCTGGAAGTTGATTTGGTCTGAATTTCAATTGTTCTGTATTTTGGCTTTAGTTCTTGAGCGTATTCTATCATGTGATGTTTTCCAGGGAGGAAAGATCCTTACTGGTGGTGGTCTGATAGAGTCTGAAGGGAACTTTGTGGAGCCCACAATTGTTGAGATATCTCCAAATGCTGATGTTGTTAAAGAAGAGTTGTTTGCTCCGGTTCTTTATGTCATGAAATTTAAGGTAGCCTCTTCATCACAAAAAACTTCTCCTCATGTGAGTTGGGTAGATGGTGGCCACGCCTGCTTAGAGGAATCACCCTGTACAAATTCTGTCATGTTTTAATGTTATGTGAGGAGCTCCTCTCTGAAAACCTTAACCACTTGTGCAGACTTTGAACGAAGCAATTGAAATAAACAACTCTGTTCCTCAAGGACTAAGCAGTTCTATCTTCACACGTAAACCTGAAGTCATCTTCAAGTGGATTGGGTGAGTCTCGTTTGTCTTGTTAATCTAAATTAATTCAGCTCCTGCTTATATATAAAAGCTCTCGTTTTGGTTGTTTATTGACATTCTATTACAACAATCAAAATGTCTTCATCCCTGCATGTAACTTTAGATCAATGATATTTCTATGGCATTATAGAATCATGCTTCTCACCAAATTACATGCGTAGGCCTCTGGGAAGTGACTGTGGTATTGTCAATGTGAACATACCAACCAATGGGGCTGAAATAGGTGGTGCGTTTGGTGGTGAAAAGGCTACAGGAGGAGGCCGTGAAGCTGGAAGTGACTCATGGAAACAGTATATGCGCCGCTCAACCTGGTAAAAACTTGATTATGAATTCCACTACCACTTTCTGACATCCTTTTCATTGCTAAGCAGTGGGATTCAGTGTAAAGTTCTCAATGAGCTATTTGTTTGATGTCTTTGGCAGCACAATAAATTATGGGAACGAATTACCTCTGGCACAAGGAATCAATTTCGGCTAGGAACGCCACCTGGTTAAGCATATATTAACCATTTTTCACATAGTATTAGTCTTGTTTTTCATTTTACTTTTTCTTATTTTTCATTTTCTCGCACGCAGGGTCAGGACTTAGGAACCACAGTTGCATCTCCTGCAAGGTCAAAATTCTTGGCCTTGTTGGTTTGGATTGTTGACTGGCCCTCCATCTTTTATGCTCTATACTGGGCTTTGCTTCGCATAATTGTCGCCTAAAAGCATGAATACTAACATATGTAGAATAAAAGGAACAAAAAAAAGCCTGCAATCTGCAAAAGGCATGATGAAGATGTTCTTGTTGCTTGCGATGAAGATTCAATGAAGGTTAATAACAATCTTGCTATCTGAATCTCCAGGTCTACTGTATCTGCTGTGCACTTCTATAATAATTCTTATTAACGAGAACACTATTGAATGTGCTCTTCGTATTGCATGTTATGCTTTTGTTGACTATCAAGTTTCCTGTATCATACTGATCCATTTCGTGTGCATTCGCATTGCAAAGAACGTTTTTCTAATATTTACTATTTATCAGTTCCATTCCTTGGAATTATTTTGGTCCAAAATAAAAAGAAAAACAATGAAAGATCATGGAAAGATTCAATGTCAACCTCAATCTAAACTAAACACCATAGGATTATCAATTGTAGAGACCTTACATGATCACAAATTGGGTGTCCTTATGCCATAAGTCTGTTTGTTTAGATTCACACTAAAGATGGAAACATAAAAATAAAACGAAAAATGCAATCACCTACCTCAAATGATTAAGCTACTAACAACCAATGTGGACAGATATACTCATTTACATAATCTCATTATCTCTGCCCACTTCTTTATTTTTTAGGTAATAAGAGACAAATCATGGTGCAATAGGATCATATTTACATTGATAAGTAAATCAGTAGGTGCTTGTCGGGTGGATAAAAGAGTAGTTGTTCAGAGTAAAAACAAGACCATATTCTTTCATGTGCTTATGCTTGTCTATTTAGGCTTCTTTAGTGAATTATTAAATTGTTCACTTTTTTTTTCCCCAAATAGATTTGTTAGTTTTGCTTGTTTGATGAAAAATTGAAGGGAAAAAATATTTGCAGCTTTTACTTAATACTGTTAGACAAAGCTAGCTGTCATAGCAAGCTGTCACGAACATAAGTTTTTAACCTAATAAGTAAAAGAAGATTTATATTTTTCATTTATCTTTTATTAATATGAAATATATAACAAAATAATCTTATCAAGTTTAGACCTATCTTTCTACCTAGTTGGGATACGTTTGAATTGAGCAAAAAATCAGTCCTGATTCCACTCATTGCCATCTTGACCTTGCACACGTAATTAGATTAGCTGGAGTTGAAAAGAAGGATTGCAGTAAGAATGTAAATTGCAGGCAGGCATGAGTTAGACTTCATAATATAAGGATTACCAATATTTTTTTTCTGTTTAAAGTCAATACCTAACTTGGGTTTTAATCATGGAAATAGAAGATAATCATATTGTTGGAAAATCAATGGTGGTAGAAGACAAAAAGAACAAAACCATGTTTCCTTCTTGTCCATATAGTAATAATTTTTAGGAGTAATTAAAAAATAAGATAAATATATTTGAAGATTTAGATGAATGACTATTTAGGGGAACGCAGGAACCCAAGCTGTTTAAATTATTGGAATATTATAGAAGCTTATTCATGGAGGCTTTAGATGGCGTTTATATCAGGAAACTAACTAACCACCAATTTAGAGATATTGACACTTGATTTTTTTTTTGTTATTATATTCTCTCTCAGCCTAGCTGGTGTCTCATTAGAAATATCCATTCTCCATACTTGCGGGGTTGGAAATTTTGGGCCTTGTAATATATAAGTAACCTATTCATCATCAAATTAATAAATAAATAAATAAACTAAGAAGAATTTTAACTTAATTGGAGAGAAACTACTTGACTTTATGATCATCACCTCATAAAATGTACAATTATCAATTATCGGATGGAGGGGGCCAAGACCCTATAATGGATCGCAATCAGTGGTCTACAGGCCCCCCCAGCAAAGCATATGCATAACTTTACTTTGATTGGATTGATTTAGGGTAATTTATGTGATATGAAAAACAAAAAGGTATGGCAAAGACCACAGAATCTATATCAAACCTTGCTAGAACCTCACTTTGTTCTTTGGGAGAGTGAAAAGTCTGGACAAAAATGTATGGCATAGTTCTGCTACCAAATCTCCTCTGCAACCATTTTTTATATTTTTGTTTTATCAGCAAAATAAAGCAATAATTTGATCCTGACCTGTATTGGTTTAGACCAAACTAAAGAGGTTTTGCCCTTCAACAATATTCCAAATTTGGCAATAATAATAATGAAGGCCACATAGTTAAGAGGATTGGTGGGGTCCAAACCTGAGTCAGATGATCTGTCCTTGATGGACCCCATAAGCAGCCTAGACCCACTTGTTAAATTGCTTCACTTGACAACCATGCACTGAATCCATTTCCAGAAACTTTTGTCTGTCAAGGGTTTAACAGAGCAGCAGAGCTGTCCACTACTGATTTTAGTGTTAGCATCTTAGTTGTCACCGATGTAACAGTAAAATTTCTTTAATCTTTACTCAAAGCTTTTACTGATGATATCAGCAGGAGGTTTCATAAAAGACAAAGTTTCCCATGTTTCATGGCAGGCTTTTTAACATTTTCTGTACAGCACATTGTTGCTAGTGAATTTTAGGCAGGCATATCAGTTTCTGTAAGAAGAGCCGTCCAGTCCAAAATCTGGTATTTCCATTGACCAAATAAGAGTTAATTATCCCCATTCCATTCATGCAAAAACTTCAGGGATTGTCATTCAATTCAAGATTTGAGATTCTAGACTTGATAATGTGGTTGCAATGTCCTAACAACGTGGGAAGAAAACCGGAAATCTTGTGGAGATTGACCAAATTTATGCAAATCAGGCACAAACACAAAGTGACATGTTAACTAATTTTTCCTGTTTGGCTGTAGATTGGTTTTAAACAGCTCATTTCAGAGCGGTATGCACTCCTTTGATTTAGATCTGAAGTATCTCATCAGAAAATGTCATTAATGGCATCTCAACCGATATAGAATCACACATAGGGAATCCATGGTAGGTTTCAAGTATTAAACAATTCCATGTTACTCTTGGATTTTTGTACAACTCAACTTTGGAACCATATTCTTCGACCCAATCATGCAAATCCCAAACCAAATATCAAATTCTTTCTCTGTCTTCTTGCTAATAGAATCTTAGAATTGAGGTTCTGTAAATTCTTTATTCCCAACAAAATTTTTGTGCTCAATACCCAAAAATCAGGGGAGCACCAGAAAGAAAAAAACACATTTCCAAAACGAATAGTCCCACAACTGGTACAAGTTTTACAATTAAAATATGTATCGATTTGGTAAAAAGAATGTTCAAATTCAATGTCAAACTCAAAACCCATTCGACATTAGTTGGTAAAAACTTGTCTAAACTGGTTGAATTTCCTTCTTAAAAGAAGCAGCAAAGCAAGCAGATTCAAAGGGTGGAAAAGAGAAGTGCAATTATCTGAAAGAAGAATTAGATTTCTAATAACAAAGGAGTTATATATTTGACATTAAGAACTACATAAGCATCTAAATCTAACCATAAACATGAATTGCTTTTTCTTTTTCCTTTTTTAATTCTTTGCTCTTTGGTTTTTTTAATCATTGATACATACAATTGGAGGAATTCGAAAACATATGTATCGGGCCAAACAGCCCGAAGCTCTGTTCTCTGTAATTGCAGCATGTCAACTTGAATTCCCCCCAAGGTTCTCTTTATTCCCCTTCATTGTCTCTTATATATCTTGTATCAACCAGACAGGGTAGGGAAACAACTTTCAGACCTGGTAAGCCCCGGACCCCGGATTTCGCCAACTTTTCTTGTAGGACTAGTTGGGGTTGACCTTAAACCTCTTGGAGAATCCAAACTCCTTCTAAGAATACTTCTCATAGCAGATATCAAATGAACGGTAGGATCAGGAGGAGGTCCGGAGGAGACAAATTTTTTGCAAAAATTCATGTGCCTTGCCATTGCTTCCTCCGTACTAATAAGCCTCTCCGACCTTATGATCTCATCTTTGACAGCTTCAGCACAAAGGCCACAAATCCATTTACCTTGATATCGTTCGCGTACCCTTTCGATGTATGCTGGGGTACACTCCTCGGTTAGCCCACAGCAATCGCATTTTGCGAACTCAACTTCACTTTGTGCTACAAGTTTTGCTGCCGTTGCTTGAGTTTCCGGTGCTGCTGCTGATACCACCATTGGATCACTGATTATTGTAGCAGGCATTGCCAGTAGCCCTGTCAAACCAATACTATAAACGTTAATAACGTCAACAAATACACTTTAAATTGGGGTTCTGTCAACTTTCTGGCATACTTTGGGTTCAATCTTTTATTCGATGTGAACATGGTGAAAACGAAGTGAAAGAATAACGTTGACTTGAGATATTACAGCTTACCTAATCTCTAGCTGGCATTTGCATTATTAACAACTAAACAAATAAATTCCCATTCTTTTTCGCAACTAAAAACAGAGGATTGGGCAGTTTTGCTATTCTGTTTTGAAACTTTGTGTTCGTTTCTAGAAAGAAATGGTGAAAGACAAATAACATATGAAGGCTGAAACTCACATGGTATATACCATGGAAAATATTGGAAAACGAGCTAACAATCATAATCTTAATGCAGCTAATAATCCAGAGAGACTGCCAAATTTAAGTTATGTAATTTCATTTTCAGTCCCACATGATCATTTATATAATAAGAAGATTTTTATACAAAGCAAACACCCGGAAATAACAAGAACAAAAACAACCAACACCAGACAATTGAAAGAATGAGAAGAAAACGAAGGAAAGAAAAAAAAAAACACAAAGAGTGTGTTAAGAGAATTACCAGCAGAGAAGCAGATGATTCAAATCTTTTCTGGCTCTTGCTTACAAATCTCCCTCTCTACTTCTGCTAGTATGGTTATTTAGGTAAATTATATGTCTCTTTTTTCTGTTATCTCTCTTTCTCCCACTCTCCTTCGTCCACCTTTCCTGCAGTGAAGAAAATCTCACACATGAAAACCATTTCCTTGAAGCCTCCCCTTTCTTTCTTTCTCTCTTTCTTTCTGTCAAGGAACTGTGCAAAAACTTCAAAGACCCTTTGCTTGATTACTTTGAAAGAGCCCCAGAGACCAAATCTCTATATGAACAAAAACCAAGAGAGTGCTTTTTGTTTATCCTCCACAAATTCTCCACTCAAAAGCACTTATAAATGAGAGAAATAGTGGAGAGAGAAAGCTTTTCTTTCTTCTTTTTTCTTTTTTTCAGAGATAGAAAGAGAGCCCAATGATTGAAACTTTAAGGGGTGGACTCTACTAATGCCACATCAGCAATATTTGCTGTAAGTGAATCATGGCCGTTCATCTCTTGATTGCCAGCTAAGCATTATCAACTTTGGGTTCCCAAT